CCTATATAGGGATGACTGGTGCGCTCACAGCGCTCACTGGCTGAGTGTGGTGCGGCCAGTCCTAAAAAAAAAAAAAAATTTTAAAGTCATAAAGTTTGAGCATAATTCTTCATTATTTGAACATATAATTTGTATTAGTCTGCTAGGGCTGACATAACAAACACAGACTGGGTGGCTTAAATGTTTTATTTTCTCACAGGTCTGGAGGCTAGAAGTTCAAGACCAAGGTGTCAGCAGGTCTGGTTTCTCCTGAAACCTCTCTCCTTGGCTTGTAGACAGCCACCTTCTCACTGTGTCCTCACAGGGCTTTTTCTCTGTGTGCATACATCCCTGGTGTCTCTTCCTTTCCTTATAAAGACACCAGTTGTAGTGGATTAGGGCGCCACCCTTATGACCTCATTTATACATAATTACCTCCTTGAAGACCTAATCTCCAAACACAATCACATTGGGGGATTAGAACTTCAACATATGAATTTGGAAGGGGTGGGGTCAAAATTCAGTCCATAACATAAGCAGTGAAAAGCCATAAGATTTTTATTTCTTGTTCTAAAAATGTAACTCTGGTCTTTTACTAGACTGTGATTTTGAAAAGCAAGCAATAATCACTTAGTTTACTTCTCTCCTTTCAAGAGCTGTTCTGTTTCTCATGCTAAATTCAATAAGCACGTCTCTTCCTGCATGGTGCAATACCAGAGACAACACCTATTTCTTTCTGTCCCTTACCTCTCTTTCCTAAACTTAAAGCATAGGCAAGGCAAACCTTTTAGTAATTCTGGTTTTTCATCTTAGTTTCCATGTTGCTAGGCTGAACAAAATATCACAGAAATTCCTGCTGTGTGTTAGGCTAATGGAAAATAGCATGATTGAGTACACAGTAAGAATGGAGATTGGAAAATAGGTTTTAAAAATAGTGGTAGAGCAGATGAGGAGAATCATATGTGGAAAACTAATCACCTCATTGTTGGTCATAGTGATTGTGATGTGCCTATGACATGTGCAGATGGATATGCGCAGTAAGAAGTTGAATATTTACTTAAGCATTTATTCAGTAAATGTTTTGAGTACTTATTGCATCAGAGTTCTATTCACTCCAAAGAGAAGTTATGACAGAAAACCTCATTTACTCTGAGCTGTCCTAGAAACTTGCTCTACTTGGATGAGGGACATGAAACTCTGACCTATCCTGGAGGGCTTGGACACAAGCACTTTAATGGGAGTGTGGGTTTGAGACACATTCTCAACTGTATGGTGGTTGTTGCCTAGTCCTTCCTTACATTATTCTTGAGCAAACAGCTATTCAAATATGACAACAAAAAAGGAACTAAGATGGAATCTATACATAAATATTAATTTTTTT